TTTCATCATCTCCTCAATGAGGTGGTCTCAAAAGTCGCAGTTACAACACACATAGGGCGCACCGCACCATAGGGCGCACCGCACCATAGGGCGCACCGCACATTTTGAGGGGAAAAAAAGACGTTTAAGTGCGCCTTATAGTCGTGAGAATACGGTAATATAACATATAAATCTAACTAAGATATTCCGACATATTCTTTTTAAAATGCTTAGTTAATTGTTAAAATATACTCACATTTGCGCATGTCTATCCCACGGCGGGATGCCATTTCTCGTCTTGTTGAATGAGTTTGCAAAGTATTCTGGGAAGTCACCTCATTCCCAAGTTGGCTCCAAACCTCACTCAATCTGAAGGGATCAATTTAAGGGTCGAAGGGCACTTCTCCCTAGCTCCTATAACCATTGGGACACACTAACCTTACACGTGAATGCGCTTAACCGAGTGCTAGGGTCCAAAACAAGTGCAAGTGAGTGAAATTCATTGCCTGTGATGATGGTCTAACTGTAGGGGGAACAGGGGACGCCCCCTCTGTCAGTGCTGGCATCTGGCTTGTTTATTGCGTCCTGAAGTCAAAGCTGTTTTTGTTTTTTGTCTCTCAGCGAACCCAACCTGTTGGTCCGAGCCTGCAACCAGCTGGGCCATTTCCTGCAGCACAGGGAGACCAACCTCCGTTACCTGGCCTTGGAGAGCATGTGTACGCTGGCCAGCTCCGAGTTCTCCCACGAGGCTGTGAAGACGCACATAGAGACTGTCATCAACGCCCTGAAGGTGAGCTTCTGGACCACATGATGGGTCTGACCAAAGGCGACGTCAAGATGCGGCCAGGGTGGATTTCCCCCTGCTGTTAAAAAAAAAACTGAAGGGAGAAACACAAATCTGATGTCTTGCGCATGCGTATTGACTATGGGTATGCTGGTCTGACGGGGTATGCTCACCCGACAGAAGACCTCCTTAGGATCCAAAGTTAAAGTCTTTGCTTCTTGTTTTCTTTATGCAGACTGAGAGAGACGTGAGCGTCCGCCAGCGGGCCGTTGACCTGCTCTACGCCATGTGTGACCGCAGCAACTCCAAGCAGATCGTAGCAGAGATGCTGAGCTATTTGGAGACGGCAGACTACTCCATCAGAGAGGAGATCGTAGGCCATTGAAAACTTACCCGTTCAGCATTAAGTCTCTGAGAGGAAGATCCTCTCCTCAGCCGCTGAACTGTCACCCACAGGTGCTGAAGGTGGCGATCCTGGCAGAGAAATATGCGGTGGACTACACCTGGTACGTAGACACCATTCTCAACCTGATCCGCATCGCTGGCGACTATGTGAGTGAAGAGGTGTGGTACCGTGTGATCCAGATCGTCATTAACCAGGACGACGTCCAAGGCTATGCTGCAAAGACTGTTTTTGAGGTGGGTACCAAAATATTTCCCCGCATCGTATTAATAATGATACAGAGTATCTAATGTACTTAATTTGTGTTCAATACCTTTCAAGATGAGATAAATATAGAATAGGGAAATAAAAAATGTTGAGCTTATATCCAGAAAAGAACAGAGAAATTACAAAAAACAGCTTTTTTCGATCAGTTGGGTTAAATTGAGCTTCCTTGACAGTGTTGTGTCTAAGTCACCAATTTAGTGCTACTTGGTCCCAATGGAATTTCCTATTGGGAACCTACTAGCACTAAGTTGCTAACTGGTTAGCAAGATGCTTCCAACAAACCGCCCACAATCAAACTTGCTTGCAAACCTTCCGCCACAACAATCCCGCTCCCTTGATAAATGACCATTCGCATTCACTTTATTCACTCGTGTAAAGTAAAACACCAGTTGGGGAGAATCTGGAACTGCAGCGTTTGGAACAGCCGCTTCCCTACGACTTTAATGCTTAGGAAAATGAGACTTAAATGATCCCTCATTTATTACAGGCCACAGATATTTACTATCAGTTTGCTTTTACTGCTAAAAACTTTTCCTTTTATGACCAGTATTGTGTTTATAAAACTGTTAGCTGTTGACAAAGATAACGTTTGGTTATCAATAAAAAATCTTCTCTTGAAGACAACTATTAGCCTGAATATGCTTTGCTAGTGTTCATAGAGACAAGTAGAAAGAAAAAAAACTGTCTCAAGAGGTGGGATTTATGGAAAAGTAGCCAATCAAAGTTGATGTTTTCAGATTGTTTTCACCTTCAAATTGACAAAAGTTGACATGAGCACAGAGAAGGGTCCAAATGCGAGTTGGAGAGAAAAGCATAGCAAACAAGAAGTGCAGAGGAGCATGAAGTCATTGTTGACATATTGGGCCCTGGTTATATTGAAAATGTGAGATATAATATTGAGATATGTGATGTGCACAGAGAGTAGTTAACGTGTGTCTGTTTTAAAACGGCTCATATTACTTTCTCTTTCATGGTCCTTTTCAATCTTCAGCATGTTTGATGATACAATTAAAGGTAATATTTGTAGTTATAGCTTTCCTGTTTATTACATATTTTACCCTTATACAAGTAGACACACAACCACACACGAGATATTTTTATTAACATCCGCTCACTACAAAGAAATATTGTACAGTAATTTAAAAACCAAGTAAACAAAGAAAAACAACAAAGTTTTTATCCCATTTTTTAACGATGCAAACTGAAATATCTTGGACTTTAAAGGAAAAATCCGGTCAGCAGGGAATGATCAATGGATCATTATCTATACCTAAAACTGCGGTGATTTAATTAATTTAGTGTTAATCAGTTAAAAAATTAAAACAATAATTGCAGTCGCAATCAATTTTATTCAATTCAGTGTATTTCTATAGCGCCAATTCACAACATATCATCTCAAGACACTTTACAGTTCAACCAGATCATCCAGTGAAATTGATTCAAAGTTTTCTATCTAAGGAAAACCAGTTGATTGCATCGACTCGTTGACTTGAAGGCAATCACTCACACTAAGCATGCTTGTAGCGACAGTGGAGAGGAAAAACTCCCTTTGAACAGGAAGAAAC